GCAAGACAAAAATTTAAAAATACTACATGGTTTCACAGAAAAAGTGAGTAAAAATTGTGTTTAAATTTGTAAAAAGTTTTTTTTAAAAATAAAAAAATAATTAATTTAAGATGATTTTGGTGTATAATATTGGCAATGCGCTTTAGCAGCATCATACTATAAACAGTAGAGATATGTATTGTTGTTTTTTTGTAGATAATTAAAGAAAGAAAACAATATCATGAAAGGACTAATGGACGATACTTGAAACATGTTGATGATATGACAGAAACAGATGAAGAGATAATAGGAAGTATGTATGCATAGACATGCAATATTTCAATTTGTTACTATACTAAATTAACACTTAAAATATTCTATCTATTTAAGTTAAGAAAAAACGACTTGCTATGCTGGATCTTCTGATAGCGGCAGTTCGAAATGGCGAGATGAATGATGTAGATATCAGAGAAGAAGTCGATACTTTCATATTCGAAGTAAGTTTATATTTTATTGATATTTTATAATAACCATTATCAATGTCAATTACCGGATTATCAATCAAAAAACAAGAAATTGTTAGAATAATTGATTCAATATCTTTAAATTACAATTACTTTTTCAAAAAGATTTAATATTTGCGTGTTCGTATATATAAACAGTAAATCTTTATAACTTAAAAATGATAAAAATCAATCTTAAATATGTTTCTGAAAACAAAAAAAATTTTTAATACGAGGATGGATCAAATATAAACGAGAATTTTTTTTTATTATTTATTGGACGAGAATAAAAATATATAAAAAAAAAACAAATTATTTTTCTACATAGTTTCCTGCTATATTAATATATTTTTGCCAACGGATAGGCAGTTTGGCGATACCTTTTTCAGAAAAAGTAGTAGGTTGTGTTTGCAGCTAATTGCGCTCAAATTCTTTTACACTGGCACCGTCCATGAATCGTATTGTCCTCCCAATTCTTCTTTCAGTAATCCAAACAAATGAAAATCGTATGGAAAGATTTGTCTCAATGCGATTATCATTTATTCGGGCTGCTAAAAGAAGGAGGATTCGAGGACGATGCCAGTATAGCGGAATTCGTGTGCAATTAGCTCCAGACATAACCTACTACTTTTTATGGGATCGTCAAATTGCCTATTCGTTGGCAAAAATATATTAATGTAGCAGAAAACTATATAAAAAAATAATTTGTTTTTTTTAAATATTTTTATTCTTGTCCAATAAATAATAAAAAAAATTTTCGTTTATATTTGATCCACCCTCATACATTATATAGGATAAATATCCTATTTAGAAAAGCCCTTTTGAATGAAATTTTGACCTTGACATATGTTATTAAGGTTATGACTCTGAATAACCTGCAACAGATTTTTAGCTCGTTATTTTTTTAAAAATTATTAAGAAAAGTTTGAAACATAATGTCTTGTTTTTACTATATAAAACAAAAATTTCCTGCTTTAAAACATATTTTACGACTGTTCATGCGAAGCGACTCTCATCCCACTTCCCCCCTTGTTAAGGGCGCGACTTCCACGTGAAGCGATTTCCTTCCCCCCTGCTTGTTTTTAATGCAAAGAATTTGTGTGTTTAAAGCAGTAAATTTATATTTTAAAGTTAAAGCAATAAATCACTGCTTTAAAAACACAAATTCAGTGTGTTAAGGATACAAACTCTCTGCTAAAATAGTGAATTTGTGTTTATAAAGCAGTGATTCATTGCTTTAAAAACATAAATTTACTGCTTTAAACACATAAATTTTTCGCATTAAAAACAAATTTTTCTGTTAAAGCAGTGAATTTCGCGTGGACAGAGATTACATAAACAAGGGAAGATATAGGATAATTTTTAATATTGATATGTATGGCAGAAAGACGTTATTTTTCAAACTTTTTTTGTTACTAACTTTTTAGCGAATAACGAGCGACGGCTGAAACTTATTGGAGGCTACTCAGGATCATGATCTTAACAACATATGTCAAGGTCGAGGTCATTAGAAGGGGATCCCCTAAACAGGATATTTACCTTGTGTATATTCACATTATAGTCATTATAACACAAATAGAAATTAGTCTTTCTAAAGTTTAGTTTTTATCCTATTCTGCGATATAATATAACCTCTTCTTCGAGGAGACACATTTTATCATCCTTTCTTTTTGATTCTTCTCTATCTTTCTTCTGTCATATATTTTTTATGTCTATAGCTCTCTTCTTTCTATACTTCAATTTCCTCTTACAATTCTTACAACATTTTATTTCATTTATTACTTTATAAATTAATAATTTCAGTTCTCTCATAGAAATATTTTTTTAGTTAATTTATTGGAATTAATAGTTGTTAATTACTTCAATTAATATTCCATTTTTGTGAGTAAAAATAGCAGGTGAAAATTAATTAAAAATAAAAAGAATATTTTTTAATTATTTTCTTATTGATAAATTATACATAACTTGTATGTGATACAGAATTTTCTTATTACAGGGACATGATACCGTAGCAATAGGTCTAACTTATGCAATATTATTACTAGCTGAACATGAAGATGTCCAGGTATTTTCAATAATAATTTATTCAACTCAATATTTAACACAATCGATTAATTCTACCAATCTTCCATTTATAGCAAGTAATTTTTAAAACGTTAGAAACATTAATTTAAAAATAAACATGAAAATACATTTTTGCTTTTATGTGTTTAACTCAAAAAAAGGTCATTACATGTTTATGGAAACATAAATACTGCTGCATTTTTAATTAATAATCATATAACATCATCAAACATCGAGAACTTTATTTTTTAATAGAAACGTGCTAGAAATGAAATTAGTGCAATCATAGAAGCAAATGGAGGAAAGCTTACCATGTCAGCGTTAAATAATATGCCATACTTAGAAAGATGTTTGAAAGAATCATTGAGATTATATCCTAGCGTTCCTTTCATTTCACGAGTTCTATCAAAAGATTTACAAACACGTGAGTAATAAGCTATATGTTACACACACACACACACACACACACACACACACGCGCGCGCGCGCGCAGAGAGAGAGAGAGAGAGAGGAGAGAGAGTGAAATGAAGCAAATTCCATTTGTAGTTTTCTATTAATTTATTGTTTAAAAATTTTATTTACGTGTGCTATATATTTTCAGAAACACATTTAGTGCCTTCTGGAACAATTCTGCATGTAAATATTTACGATATTCATAGAGATCCAAATTTCTGGCCAAATCCAGATGTATTTGATCCAGATAGATTTTTGTTAGAGAAAATTCAAAAACGTCATCCTTATTCCTACTTACCGTTTAGCGCAGGACCACGAAATTGTATAGGTAATGTTAAATGTATATAAGATATTAATTTATTCGTATAAACAATTTCTAATATATTTACAAATTATAGGACAACGATTTGCTATGATGGAACTGAAAGCTATAATGGCAACATTGATATATAACTTTTATCTGGAACCCATCGATTATTTAAAGGATCTTCATTTCAGGCTAGATATAATAAGCCGTGTTACACAGCCGATCCGTACACGATTTATTCCAATTAATCGTACACTATCTAAAGTCATATAATTTTATTTATTGTAACAAGACAATATTAAAAATCATTAAATAAAATGATTCACGGGATTATTATACATACTTGTATAATTAATTTTAAAAAATATAACGACTTATACTAACACAGTAAATTTTATTTACTAATGTTGGTATAAGTCGTTATATTTTTTAATTTTTAATTATATCTGTATTTATTGGAAAAATGTGTTGAACATTATTTTAAATATAAATTTTATTTTATATAAACAAAAATTTAAAGCAATGCTAGCATTGTCTGTTTTATCAATTAAACATAATTTTCGTAAAGGATTTTTATATACATTAAATGTACATAACATTTTTATATACATTAAATCTACATAAAATGATTACTGTAGGGTGTGTAGACTTAGTAGTTATTTCGTAATATGTAAGTGTAGAGGAATAATAAAGTATATTGTATAGCAAAATATAAGTGTTTTGCTCTTATATTTCTTTGTTTGTTGTCTTGTATATCCCACCTGTTTGGGATATACGGCATTTTTAGCGTGTAAGTATTTTATGCAAGCAAAGGTTTTAAATGACATATAGTGCTCCTTATTATGCAGACTTTATAAAAGTCATTTTGAATTTATGTATGTCTTAAGGATGTGATGATAATGATTATTATATGAAATTTGACGATCGTAATATCGTAGTACATAGTAATTATGTATCACTATCTTATGTTCTTCGTATTAAAAATAAAAATGTAATTGTCGCATGGTCAAACTTTTGAACAATTGTACAGAATTATTTGTATTTACATTGGCTTCTTTGTTTCTTTAATAATTAATAACGTTTTTTAAAATTCAACAAAAAGTAAAAAATTAACATTTTTGTCGTAAATTAATTGGTTTTTGATATATTAATAATTTTATTACTGTTAAATTATTTTTTACCGATTATGTTGCATAATAATATAATTATCGTTTAAATTCATTGCAACAATTATGCATATGTGATTTGATTATTATGATAATTGGATGCATCTTCCTCTTCATGCATTTTCCAACTTGTTCCTATTATAGAGTAAAAAGACTCGTGCACCACACTTGCATCTGTTATTATGTCCTAATAACACTTCGTTCAGAATTATAGATCGAATAAGCGGTAGTTTGAGAACATTATGCCGCAACTTTTAATTTATTGTTTGCGTTTATGGAAGCCGCGCAATCCGCGACGAGTCACAGGTCGGCACGGAAACGCCAAACCGTTTTGAAATTAAGCAATAAATTCAGCAGGGAGGCTGAAGGGTTGGCGTAACTGCGGAACGAGGATAGGAGTCGTCGTTAAATATTTCGCGAGAACCCAAGCATTCGCGACTGATTTACAGACGACGGTACGTGCGTGACGTACCTGCGTATCTCATGCACACGATCCCGACTGGTCCGTCGCTGTTGTCCATTATTTTCTTTTTCCGTGAACAATCCGTTTTTGCGATAAGTGGAATAAGAGAGCATATACTCTCAGGCGAGTTTTCCGAATGTATGAACGGCCAGAACGACGCGAAGTTAAGAAGAGAGAAGAACAATGGAACAGGAAAAAACAACGGGCATGGAGGACGAAGAGGAAGACACGGATTGGTGAAAGATACGGCCTGGTAGAATTGCGGAGTTCCTGCACGGAAATTACAGATGCGGCGTGTTTCACGCTCGAACGAAAGTGTCTGGAAGAGCACTCGACGAGTATAAGAGAGCATACGAGGAATAGAATAAAAGAGACTGGCATCCCCTTGAGGACTCAACGAATTGTTATTAGTAAGACAAATGTTGAGTATGAAAGCATACGGTTAAGAGACATGCATTCGTTTGTTAATTTTTTTGAATATAATAATAAGAAATTTTTAAATTTATAAAAAACCTTTAATCAATGGTTTTATACTTAATCAGTCAATTTTTATTGATGTATTTTGCATATTGTGCAATTTTCTTATATGTCACCCAAACAAAAAGAATTAATTTCCATTTTGATAACCAAAGTTAGCGAAACTTGACTTGTCTTATTTTCATTTCATATCAAATATCATAAAAAGTTAATATCAAAAGTATGAAAATTATAGCAACAAGTCTTGGTCTCTCTTATTTTGTTAAAAAGTTTATCATTTTTGTGCCTAAACTATATTTATATACAAGTAAAGAGTTTAATTAAAAGTTATTTATTTGTTTATTAAAACGGTTAAAAAAGATTTTGTTTTATAGATTTAATTTATCAAAAACTTCTACAAAAAAGATGAAAAGGAAAATAGTGACTGTTATATATTAACTTTCGTTGGTCATAGGGAACAATGAAAACTTCTGATAGTAAAAGAATTAATGATATGCTTGTTTCTATCACAAATGTATCAAAAAAAATAAAACATACAATAAAGTTCAATGTAAGCATTATAAATAAATATCCCTTTTGTGCGTAACAACTTTTCTACTTTCGTAGCGTTTTTCAAATGGGTCGGAAAGACATTAGAAGCCAAATTAGCTGAAAAATCTTGATTTTAGAGTGTGGGCAACACACGGCAAGAATGGCCGCATACATATATCGATTATCGGTCGGCCGCATCCAGATGTGTGCTGAAACTTTTTTCTTCGCGTCAGTCCGTAAATTCTAAAGTTAAAAACTTTTCCACCCTACTGGCCGGTCAGTCGCCCAAACTTGAAAGTCGAGGCGACATCATTTTACTCGCAACCTACAAGAACCATGCATTTGTGATGCTAAAAGATGTATTGCTGAGTTTTTTTTTCGATTTCCATCGAGCGATAATGTATGATATGTCCGAGCTTTTACTAATTTACTATAAAATATATATCTTATTGTCTCTTTTTTTAGTACATAATAATGCTGTAAGGTACAACAAGCAACTGCATTATACTACAATATAATCATATTTTTTTTTAACTGACTGTAGTATAAAAATATATGACCAGCTCTTTTGTACCAAAAAGATTAAGAAGTTTTTTTTATGTTAATTAAAAATGGGATAGAGTATCCATTTGGGAAATATTATGTTTTCTTATCATTTCTTTTCCTCATTCTTAAAAGGAAAGTTATATAATCTTTAATTTTTTGCGCTGTTTTATATAAAATAACATAGATAAAATAATTATTTTTTAATGCGGTTTTTCTCTCATTGACATTAAAAAAATATGTACTGGTGTTTCAAAAGATAAATTAAAAAATATACCGAGTTTTGCTCAGTCACAATTTTCTGTAATCTCCTTCGTTGGTATTACGTATCTCTCAAATCGGGGCTGCACGTATAGCCGTGTCTTGTCGACAACGTCGTCCTCGTTTCGGCGCGCGTATTAATCGTGCCTCTGGCTTTTATGCTCATTAAATTACGCAGCCGTCGCTGGATACGGTGCCGTTAAACCAACGACATCGTCGGTACATTCACGATCCAGCGGTTTCGCGCCAGGCGAGCAAGACTTGGATCGGGAGACCAGATCCAAGTATTTCAACCTGAGTTCTCCACCCACCACGAGCCTACATCCCTCTCGCTGCACAAACTTTACGCAGATTGCAAGGCTTCTGCCAACCAACCGTAACACGCAACACTGCATTTACGATGTTAATAACGCAGACTATGCCAGTAATGATGGATATTGACGAGATAAAAGCGCTAAGAAAAATCAACCACTATAATTCGGCATGTTTCGCTACTTTGAACGCAAGTCGAAATACTGATACAAAATTGGCCTTTTTATTTAACATTTATACTTATACTGCTCTCTCTTTTTTTGATACATTTATATATATTATGCCATTTTAACGAATTTCAACATTTTTTTGTTTAATTTTGTACAATGTAATAATAAATTAATAAAATTTTGATAATTTAAAAATGCATATTCATAATAATATATATTAAATTATGAGTTAACAATTTATACTTTGTTAAAGAAAAATTTTGTTATAATGTTATATTAATATTGCATTAATATTATATTATTGTAATTATATGTATTGGAAAAGGAAATAAACAGTTTTTTTGCAGAATAAGTATTTCTATTTCTAAAGTTTAAGATTTATAATATTCTAAATACCTAATGTTACAATCCATAATTATTTTACAGATTTCTGTAATAAATATAATTTGAATAATTATATGTTGTTTTATCAATTTACATTACAGATAAAACAATTAAAAAATATAATTTCTGATTTTCACGTATTTATTCATAAAGAAGGCTGAAATATCCTTCAAACCAAATTTCTTGCATCACAAAAGATTTCTCAGCTACTTTATTGACCGCATGTGTTTGCATATTTATACAAACGTAGTCATCCTAGTCCCAAGCGTACATTTCATCTTGTAGCGTTTCTCCTGAATCGATATGCCGGAACTGTGTAGAAACTCCTGGTTATCACACAATATGTACGTTGTAAGCCAGAGTTCTATTGTTGCGATCAAATCAGCTTATCGACTTTGCTATCGCTTTATCTCATTCGAAGAAGAAGTTTAGCGAGAATACCTTCCTGCGGATACCGTTCTGAAAGTAAAGAAAACTTCCGTACGTAGCACGTCGTCAAGGTGGGCGGTGTATTCAAAGTTTTTGGCACGCTTGATATTGATATATCGAGATACTTTCAGCCTGCATCAGCACGTAGTCGACTGAACTCCTTCCTTCGACCCCTTTCCTTCTTTCTAGATATAATGACATATTTTAACTCTGATAGTTCTCGTACAATTGGTGATTGGATCCGTTATTTTTCCCTGCAAAATCATGAGATATGTTTTTCTACAGCGTTCCAGCCTTAAGATATCTTTAAGCGACAACGATTTGCATTTTTCTTAAATATTGAATAGTACTATAGATTACGATTGAATAGCATTCTCCATTATTCGGTTCTTTTTTTTTAATGGTACGATACGTCATTTCATAAGTTAACAGATATAGTATGCTGCAGATTTATTTTTTCTTCTTGTAATAAAAAAATAAAGAATAAAAATTGTAACACTTCAGTATAGTTTATGAAGTCCCATTGCCCATTTTTTTCTTCACTGTTAGTTG